TATATATATATATATATATATATATATATATATATATATAAACAAAAGCTATTTGAATTTAGTCGTCGCTGAGATCTAGCTAAAAATCCAGGATCTGTGATAAAACAGAGTAATTCTGTCACTTTGCAAATACAGCATTTTACAGATTGCACATTAAGTCTTACCTGTCATATATGAAACATGAAAAAAAAAGAAAAGGTAGCATCTGTTTTTACATATATGTTATCAGGCTTTCACACAGTCACTGACTGGTCATAAATAGACGGGGACGGGGGCGTGGCTTCGTCTGTTCACTTGGGGTCCTCGATGGTGCCCGTGCTGAGGTCAGTCATTTTGGGGTACTTCACCTTCTTCTGGTCCAGCTCATTTTGAGCCCACAGCAGCAGCTTCAGGAGTTTGGCCAGCTTGGGTGTCGACTCCCTGTTTTCATAGTCCAGCACGGCCTGGTTCACCTCGCTCCACACCTGACAAACAAATTCCTCTGCAGTTTAGTCAGGACCCGTGCACACTGTGTGCATTGTGCGTGCGGGCAGCCTGACGCGCCTCTGATGAACAAGCTACGGATTGATAACCTGCCTTCAGACCTCGGCTTATCTCCGTCTCACAGCAGACACACAAATGGTACATGTCGGCCACACTGGACCCACATATTAAAACCAATGATGTCACACCTACCGACTGTTAAGTGAAAAGCTTCTGACCTGTGTTTATATTATAACTTTAACAAAAAACATTTTTATCAAACAAATTTGTTAAAATTCCATGTTATTATTATTTATTCATGTATATGTGTTAACTTGCATGAGTGTCTGTTGCGGGACACCTGAATTTCTCTTACGGGGGATTAATAAAGATTATATCTATCTATATAAACTCAAAACTTCACTATAAAAAAACAAACAAATCCAAATGGCCTTGTGCTGGTATCAAAAGGCCGATTTGTCATAAAACAAATAGCCATGACTACCGCCTCACTTGTGTTTGTCCATCTCTATGGCATTGCGACACAGAAAGGCCACTAATAGTTTAATCATTCGCTTAACCTTCATTATACCTTTGTATAACAGCCCTTTGTTGAAACTGTGTGTTAGAAGACGTGAATTAAACTGAGACTACACATTACAAACATGCTCAGTTTGAGTCTTAATGCAAAAGCTCTGTATTTCCTGCTCTGAGGTTCAATCATCATCTTTGTAACTGTGGATAAACCTTGCTAAATAACCAGCTGATGTTAGAGCATGAGCTGCAGCTTTGCCTTTTCTGCACATGGAGATAATTAAAATAGTTTAAATTCCTCCAAGATTTCCATCGGGTCCGCTGGGATCCCAATTAGAAGAGCAAGTGATGCAAGCAATAGATTTTCATAAACTCTGACTTGTTGCTGTCAGAAAAGTACAAGGAAAAAAGCAAACAAAAAAAATACAATGCCTAACCAGGTGTTTTTGAGTACTATTGGATAAATGACAGCATTTTTAATGCATACTATCAGACTCTAGGAACTCTTTTCAAAATTCCTATGACTGCTTGCCCCCAAATAAGCTACGGCTGGCAGCTGTCTTATGGTCGACAGTGTTGCAATCAGCAGCACAAACCAGACCTTTTAAGATACAGCTTCACTGTCCCCTATCATCATTGGAACTGTTTCGCCTGTAAGCACTGTTTTATTTTCCTTATTACAGTTCCAACAAGTGAAAATATGACAGCACGATATTCTCACCTGCCCTCACCTCAGACAATTTTCCGTTATTGCAGTGAGACAGGAAAGCAGTTCCAATTCATTTTAACAGTCACGCTATCGATGGCACAAACACCCGCCTACCTTTTGCCGCTGCATCATGTTCAGCAGATCTCCGAAGGGCGACTCCTCCGGGTTGTCGAAGGCCAGAAGGGCAAGCGTTCGCTCCATTTCCGTCAGGCACTCTCGGCTCTCCTCCCCCTGCTCCGCAAGTTGTGTCTGAGCGAATTCAAGCGCTGACTCAGTCTCTCTTAGCCTGATTAACTCAATCAAATGTTGCTGCTGCAAGTGGGAAAACAAAGAAGGCAATGCTGACAAAAGCTTCATCAGTGACTGTAAGGGCCTGAGTTAAATATGCGGGGTAAGACGTTCATTCACACAGAGGATGACTCCCGACTAGGGTTGTCAAAAGTATCGATACTTAAAAAAGTATCGATACTAAAATGTTGTATCCGGATACGATACTCATTTTCAAAAGTATCGATACCACCGCGCGAGCCCGTGCGAGTCCGCGCGAGCCCGCACAAGCGCGCGCACGACGCTGACCTGCCGTCGCTGCGCCCCTTCTCTCTGCTTTATTTATGTATTTATTTACGTTGTTTATGATCATTAACGTGACGTTAGCCTTGAACTGCTAGCTGGGGCTAATGGCTAACAATAACATGCTACCATTAATCAAGTACATATCCGTCTCAGCCCACATCCAAATCGGCCTTTTTGATTACGTCACCAAAAGGAAAATCCCAGGCAAGAAAATAGTAATGCCTCATGGCAATATAGACATTAATTTAAAAATAGTGAAATTAATCTTTCGAACACTGAATTAAACTCTATCCATAATATTATGTTAAAATAGTGGATGTTAAATAAGTTTGTACAATAAGTCCAAACAAGTTTAACCCAAAAATTGTTTCTCACAATTATGAAGGGTGGAGGGTTAGGGTTAGGGTTAGGGTTAGGGTAAGGATTAGGGTTAGGGTAATTCATTCGGGCCACCAGCCACGATAACATCAGTAACAGGCCAGTTTGAAATGAAAGACACTTAACTGTCAAAATTCAGTTAAATTTTGGGGTCTTTGTTTTTATCCTTGTGGTATCGAAAATGGTATCGAGTATCGAGTATTTTCCTGAGTATCGGTATCGAGTTGAAAATTTTAGTATCGTGACAACCCTACTCCCGACACAACTTTCCCGGCTATATAGACTATAAACACCAAACTTACAGTTTTACTGTTAACCTCTTACTAATGTCACAGATGAAAAACTTCATAATTACACAAACTTTCCTTGATAAGGATGCACATGCTAAAACCAAAACAAAACACTGGGCATTTATACCTGCAGATGGAAATACAGGTATCGATTGGTATCAAGCAGTTCTGGGTGTAGACTGTTGATCAGTGCGATGGCCTCCTGTATCTGGCCCTTGAGGATCATCTCTCGGATCTTTATCCTTTCATCCAATGAATCCAGGTCGACGCTCGGTTCGATCCCGGACTCCATCCGAAACTTTTCCGCTGCCTCTTTGAAGCCCTCTTCAACCAAGTGAAACAGACAAAAGCAAATACATTCACACCAGCTCAGGCAAAAAGTTGGACATTCAGCGTACAGTGGCTGTGCTCAAGCTGGATGCCTCACCTGTCACCAGGTAATTCATAATGAGTCGATTCATATCCGCCCTCTGTATGTGCACATTGTTTAATTTGTCCATCCACTCCTCTTTTGTGATGTCCTCTGGCTTTTCAGCATAACTCATCATTGGTCTCCTGAGAAGTAGTGAAACGTGGGAAACGTGACAAGACTGACACAGCTTGGTGGCTGTCTGTACCTACACGAACAACAACTTATCAGGGCAGCTAATGGCAGCAAAGTGTAGACGTGGGTACATACTGTATAATAAAAATGGTTAACAAAACAATAACCTGACATCTCTGCGAATAAAACAAGCGGTCTGACACTTGCAAGTTCGAGAAAAAAAACAACTAAGAAATTCACAGACGCTTCCAAAACAAACCCATTTCCTCCAGAGCAACAGCCCTGGTTAGCAGACTGTGTACGGTTTCTCAATTTACCGTGCAAACACAAGGTCCCGCGGTATCCTTTTACGCAGGATGTAAATTTTCAGCAACGTGCAGTCTTCTTGGTGGTTTTATAAAACTAACATTGATTAAAAAAAAAAAAAAAACAGTAACCCGCAGGTACACGATCAAGCTTTTACCAGCTAGCTAACAGCCAAAGCTAAAGTGATAACCTCGCGATAGGTACGTCAACCCTGCGAGTTCTTCTATTGGTGAGGCCCATGACGTCATGGTTGCTGAGGGACAGCGAGAGTGCATACAGTTAGAGAACCAATGGAAACCCGCGTGCTCTAAGGGGAAAAAAAAAATTCAATAATAAATAATTCGTATCTAATTTCTACACAAAATATTTCCTTAGCTAGTTCATGCAACTTACTTCTGAACTCATGTCTAAATTGAGTTTTTTTTTAATAACACTTCCTAACACTTTGTTATTCACAATCTGAAAAAAACGCTAGCAAACCATTTTTACAGCAAACCTGTAAAATCAGTTACACATTTTAAATTTCCATTTGATATGTATTGTGATTTAAAAAAACACAAGCAAAATTTATTGGAATTAAAATGAAACTTATCTCAGATATTCCTGGCCACAAACCTGGTGTTGAAACAAGTGAGCCAAGATGTTTTAAGTTTTAAATACCATTTATCCTGCTTACCTTGGTAAAAAGATACACATGTACAGATTTCAGGGTGAGGGTGCTTGGTTGTTTGTCCTTGTGTGTCTCTGTGTGGCCCTGTGATGGACTGGCGGACCGTCCAGGTCTTGCCCATTGACCACTGGGATAGGCTGCAGTTCCCCCCATTAGGGAATAAGTGATTATGATAATGGATGGATGGATGTGAATTGTGAAATAAAGCCAATGCCTGTGTAAACTGGGAAGGTTTTATGACAGGGAAATGCAGACCTGACATGTGTGTTTCCCCTTAACCGAAAATACAGTTTGAGATTTGAATATAGCGAGCACAAGACCCTTTGTTTTCTTTAGTATCATGAGCCCTCAGGCTTTGGTACCTGTAGCTGAAATGATTCCAGAGAGTGTTTTATTTTATCTTTGTTTTTTCTTTAGCCCAGAACAAATGGCATCCGGTTCTTACCATTTGGAACACTGCTCAGTCTGTGCACAACACACATTCCCACTGGGCTTTGGCATCCCAGATGCTTTGGGGCCCAATTTTGCTCTTTGGTTTTACCACTAACGCTTGACAATTAATTGAAAATCATCTTGTATTTGACCGGAGTACAGTATCTCTGAAACCTTGTTTTTTTGTGTGCCATCCTCTCTTCTTTAACAACAGTCTGTAAATCATGTCTGGGAGCTGGAGCAAAGAGTTATATGGACCTTTGGGAGACTAGTGGCATCTTATCTGATAAAGGATTTAGTGTTTTTATGATGCTCAAATGATTTTAAGTTTGGTGAAAGGTATGGAAAGCTGGCAAGTTAATCCGCCACCCAGTTTATTCAACTACAAAGCAAAGCAGTTTTAACTGGAGAGCATGTGATTCTGTTGGCTTGCAAATATGATATCATAAAAAACATATGATCCTGTGGAAGCTGTAACCTTTTCTAAGCTCTGATGATATCTTTCCAGTTGCCTGTCCCATAGGTACTCAAACACCCAACAATTCCATCAGAGATTCAGGCTTTTGAGCTGAATACCGATAATGATAGTCTCTCATCTCTTGATGAAAGGCACAACATCCAGGATCGCCAAAGACTTTCCAAATGTTGATTAATCTGACCTTAGAACAGTTTTCCACTTTGCCTCAGCGCACCTTAAATATGTTAAAATGCTTTAAACCGGATATATGGATGGCACACTGACTTGAATTCACAGGTATTGACTTTTGGTATTGTGACGGTGTCAAAGCGGTTATCTCTGACACTTGTTGGGCATGAGGTGCCTCCTGGGGGCTTACAAAGATGTCTGCTTATGATAAAAAAAACTGTTGATGACATCAGGTACTCCCTCTCTCTATCTCTCTGACTCTCTCTCTCTCTCTCTCTGTCGTTCTGTCTGTCTGTCTGTCTGTCTGTCTGTCTGTCTGTCTGTCTGT